CCGGCGTACAATCCATGTATCCCAGTGTAAGTACTTACTTTGCAATTAATTAACATTTTATGTTTGAAAAAGGAAATACCTAGAAACAGGTGTTACAATTCCCTCCACTTGAATCCAACTTCGTCCCCAAAGTCAGTCGTTGTGAAAAGATCCGAGAAAGCTCAGGCATCTCAGCCTCGGGACTTAAATTTTCTCATAGCCTTTCTTATGTTGCCATTGAACCTTGACCAAGTTCACTGCCTTGTTCCTCAAGGTATTCGCCTTTATATCCAGAATCATCACTGGTTTCTTGATGTAATTCAGGCGACCATCGACCTGAATGTCCTCCTAAGGAACCAATGATTTCTCATTGACCACATACTTCTTCAACTGGGAAACATAAAAGGTGTCATGAATTTGACTCATCTCCTCTGGACGCTCTAACTTGTGTGCTACTTTCTAACACCGTGATTTTTCACCTAAAATTTTTATTTTTATTTTAAACACATTTTAACCAGAATATGTTTAGCGAAAGTCTTATTATAAATATTATGAAAACATCATTGATGTTACTTTATTATCAAAACAAGTCCATTAAAATAAAAGTTCTCAAAAATGTACACCAAAGTAAATTCTCAATACCAAATGTGATGAAAACTCAACAGCATGTCGAAAATGGTATCAATACTAAGACATAAACTAGAATATAACTACCCAAAAAGTCCCCATCGTCTCCAGGCATCATAACACGTTACTTGTTTCAATGCAAGGACAATAGAAAGGAAAGAAACAGTGTCAACATAAGCTAAGTGATTCAACCATAGTACAGTTTTATGCAACACAAATATCCTAAATGGATCAGACAAGACATCATATAAGCATGCATTCAAGCACTCACATAGCATGGCATTGAATACATTATATAAGCATGCATTCAAATACTCACATAGCATGACATCAGATATATCATATAATCATTACATACATCACTTACATCACATACATTTCTTACATCATGTACATCACTTACATCACATACATCACAATAATGCTCAATAATATAATTCATCATTAGAGTCTTTTAGTTATTTTTCATTACTCATCTTTGTAACTAATACTTCCTATAATGAGTTTATATGTTCATCACTAACCCCAAGGCAAGTATCCTATTCACTACTAACATGACTGGCACAACCCAATGCACCAAGTGAGGTGCGACTCTCACCCGTAACATTGCTTCCGATTCGTTGCGTTCGCTACTATGACATTGCATACATGAATACATGTGTTGTCATTAAGGATTAGTTCAAACAGTGTCAATTCTACTGCGTTACACTTCCTAAATCCAACATGGTGTTTGTGTTGGCCCCACTGCATGAACAACATCACCCACCTTTAGGACCATGTCTCAAGTGGTTGTCTAGGAAAACTACTCGACGTCACTTTGGCTTAAGCTCTTATCCTACAAGTATCTTTCAACCTACTAGGGCATAAAATGATCCAGATAGGGTATGTCTAGGTTGCTACCCTTAGCCCCACTAGTGTATTCCCCTTATAATTAATTAATTATTAATTCATCTTTTAAGGAATTACACATATGACCTCCATAAGTAATCATGTATATTTATTAT